AGGTGCAGGGCAGGGGCCCCTGCAGACCTGCCAGGCTCTGAAGGCCAGCACGTTCCCTCTCCCCATCACAGCGCTCAGGATTTAGAGGCAGAAAGGGGCATGAGGATCTCATGGGAGTGAAAAGCAAACCTGGGAAAATCAACCAGAAAAACCAAAGATGCAGGATGTGGTGTCTGTATGTCACCCCTGTGTGAGAGCGACCAGAGAGCTTATGTGTTCACTCAAAGATTAACTTTGCAGGGACACACAGGAGCCCAGGGGAGTGGTCGTTTCTGGGGTGGGTCTTGGGGCAGCAAGGACACAGCACGAGGAGGAAAAGTTCCATATTACTGTTTATTCTGTGCTTTGTGAATTTTGTATTGTGTCCATTCATGATGCATTAATAGAAATATTTAAAATAGTACTGGCACATAGTGAGTGCTATATAAATTTCAACAATTGTTATTATTTTTTAAATCATATAAAATTATTTGAGGGGGAGAGACCCTGGGAGGGAAGGGAGAGCAGATCTGGGGTGGAGGGCTCGGACCCAGTCCAGGCCGAGGGGCTGGAGGTGGCTGCAGAGCCAGGCCCTGGCAGGAGAGGGGACCGGGTTCCTGGGTGCTTCTGAGAGCTCAGGAAGGATGCAGGTGACCCTCGTGCAAGGTGGGACACATTCCCTGACAAGATCCCAGATTTTCCAGAGCATTCTGTGAAATGCACAGAGGATGGCTTCAGGCAAGGCCATGATACCTGCCAAGATCGGGCTCTGCAGCGAGGGCCTCTGACGGGAAGGACAGAGGGTTTCAGAGGGCCCGTCAGGGTCCCTGTCCTCTGGGTTGGCTGAATGACTTTCCAAAGGGCGGCAGCTGGCCCTGCAACATGGGCCATCGAGACAGAGCCCAGGGCCAGGTTCCGCTGTCTGACGAGTGTGAGGGCAGCATCCGGCACCAGGAGAAACTGGAAGGTGTACAGGACCTGGGCATGCTCACACATGTGTGTCTTTTTCTACTTTTATTGTTCTAATGGAGATTGGCCACCTGGGGATGACTTGGGAGCTTAAGACACAGTCTAATGATTCTCCAGAATGTATCTGACCCAAAGGACATGGGGAAGCGGGGAGGAAAACTGCTTTGCTGATTCTATTTGGATTTTCCAAGGAGGATAACCGAGGAGGGGGCAGGTTCTGGCACTGGAGGGGGACAGTGCGGACAGGGCAGCAGCTTCATGTGGTGTAGCCTCCCCCTCAAGAACTCAGAGGAACAGTCACTTCGCCCCTGCGTGTGCACACCAGGAGTTACTGAGCTGAAAGGATGGCTGGGGGCCTCCGCACCTCCGGCCAGTGGGGGAGACCCGTTTTGGTGGGGTGCTGGGAATGCTGAATTGTGATCATGCCGTGGAAAAGTTCACCTCAGCACAATAACAGACACACAAACTCAAGCCATCCTAAAATGCCATCTCCACTTACCAGACTGGCAGAAGATAGAAAGTTGGATCACGCACTGTGCTGACCAGGGCGTAGGCTCTTTTCCCTGGAGGAGAGCTGAACAGGTGCAACCCCCATGGGGGGCACTTGGCATTAGCTACCAACATGTAAAGTACAGTTGTTGGCTAGGAATTCCACTTCTAGAAAGATGGCCTACAGATATGCCAGCAAAGTAGCGTCATGTCATGGCAGCATTGTTTGCTGGAAATATGCTCAATTTCTCTGAATACAGAAATGTTAATAAATTTGAATAAGACACATGAAGGAGCACTCTGCAGCCATAAACACAGGTGAGGAAGCTCTGTATGAACCAATATGGAATTAACTCCTGGAGATATTAAGTGGGAAAAACAAATGCAGAAAAGTATATGCAGAATGCTATTTGTGTTAAAAAAAAAAAAAAAAAAGCACGTTGTCTGCCTGTGCTTGTTGTGCACAGGACTCTCTGGAAGACACCTCGGGAACTGGTATCACGGTTTGCCTGTTTGGAGGGGGCCTGGTGTCTTCCAACAGCCTCCTCAATCCTTGAAGGCTCTGTCTCCTCTAGGCCCCACCAACCAAGAAATGAGCCAGACCTGCGCCCTCTGGCGGCAGGGGCCGGCAGTGCACGGGAGGGAGTGGGGCTCAGAGCTCAGCGGTTCGGCCATTTAGCAGTTTGGGGACCTCACAGACATCACTAACCACTCAGTCCCTGCTTCCTCTCTGTCAAGCAGTAAAAAAACTACTGGTGTTAATAAATGAGATGATACACGTGTAAGTGGAGATAAATGTACACTTTGTTGGGTTACTGAGAACGCATAGACAATCTGTATGAAGTGCCCACTTAGCATAGGCCCTGGTCTGTATGTAGCAAGTGCTCAGTAAATACATTTGTTCCCAAATACCTCTTGGCTTCTCATTTGCACCTGATCACGATAGGATCAAAATGCAAAAGCCCTGGAGGCCAACACAGCCCTTAGGGTGCATCTTCAACCTGCGTCCCCACGCTCAGGGCTCCCCGCGTGTGCTGTGGTCTCTCTTCTCTCTGCCTGGATTGTCCTCCTTCCGTTGCCTGGCGTGGTCAGCCTCGAGGGCCCGCTCACACGTCACAGCTCTGGGACGCTCCTCCTGACGTCCCAGCCCCGGGAGGAGTTTGTGCACCTTGCTCTGTGATGGCAGAGCATCTGGGGTGGCCCTCTGCAGGGCGTCATCACCCCCAATGGCAATCGTGTCCCCAATTCCGGCTGATACACACACTTTCTTGTCACGATAAAGTGAATAGGCAGAGACACTCAATGCCACTCAAACAAAACCACAGCAAGATTCCATTTTCTACTTGTCAGATGGCAAAGGTCAGCAAGTGTTGAGACCCTGAGGTGGCAGAAGCATCAGGAAACTGGTACTGAGGTCAGACTGCGAACTGATCCACCTCGTGAGAAGAACCGGGCGACATCTGTCCAGCTGGTGTGCACACAGTGAAATGACGCACGCGCCCCGCTGCTCGTTGCGTCGAGTGGGAAGTGGCTCAGGAAGGGACAGGGGCCAGAGGACGGAGCACTGTGCGTCTGTGAGACAGAGCTGAGACACTTTTTATTGATGTGGAGCCATCGCCAAAAGTTACACTGCAAAGTGAGAAAAAATACAAACAGTTTGTACGGAATCTACCATTGTGTACAAAGGGGAGAGAGTGTACACTAGCATGGGCATTTGAAGCACAGACTGTCTCAGGAAGAATGCAAAAAATATACTGATCCCAACACAGTGGTAGCCTCTGGGGGCCAGCACGGGGAGTCTGGGAAGCAGGAGGAGCTGAATGCTTAGTTATCACACGTCTTTTCTCTTTTAAATTTTATACTATGTACATATATTATCTATTCAAAATCAAATAACTTTTTAGTAAAGAAGGAGAAGAAAAGCTCATAATAAAATGGAGATGAGGTGAGCCAGGGGCACCAAGAGGAGGAAAAGACTTTGAATTTGTTTCCGGGAGTGAGAGCATCCTCGGGAGGTCCCCACCCTCAGGCCGGCGGCCTCCACTGGCACCACCTCATGTTCAGAGAATTACAAACCATGTTTCAGTATGAGTCTGAGTAAAACAGAAGGATGATAAACCCACTGTCAGTGGCGGAAGAAAATTCATTTAAAAAATGTATAACCAAGCTCAAAAGAAACAGAATTAGACATTGGAGCCCAGGACTCTTTCATGATGGCAAACAGCTGATAAGCCTTGGGTCATCCCTCTTGTACCCCAAACCTAGTACTTCTAAGTGCCTCTGAGGATCCTGGCCCTTCTGTTTAAAAGCCTCTCAGGTCATCAGGACTCACCTGGGTAAAGCATGGGCCCCAGGGGGCACTGGTGGGGAGGCCCCCAGCTCTGATGACCCCTCTCCTGGGGCAATCCTGGTCTGGAGCCACCAGACACGCTCCCAGACCAAGCCTACCTTGCCAGGACACAATCCAAGGGCCAACACCAGGGAGGTGACCTTGGCCAGCTTTACTAGGGAGAAGGCTGGTTACCGTGGACACCAAACTAGCCTCAAAAGAGAAGACGTTCCGGGAGGGGCACGGGAGCTATGCTGGGGCAGGCTGGCACCTGGGCACCTGAGTCCCCTCTGGTTGGTCTCCAGTCCTCCCACCTTCCCTCGGGCCAGGTTGGCCCACCCCATCCCTTCCTCACCTCTTCCAGAAGCTTCTCTTGCTAACCCCACCCTGTTCAAACCTCAACACGGGCTTTTGCCCTTAAGTCTTCAAGTCCTACCCTCTCTTGAAGGTGTTCCTGGTCTGTGGTTAAGTGGTATTAAACAGGTTCCTGTGTTTGTCTGTCTCCCTGACCACAAGGTCACATCCCAGGGAAGTGCTTGTGTTTCCTCCCTCTCCCCTTGGGGCAGAGCTCAGTCTGCAGGAAGCAGTCACTCCTTGGCTCTCTTGGAGCCAGGACTAACTTCCCCCAGTTCTGGGGTGGCTGGCTGTCTCCCCAGTTGAATCATGTTTGTTAAATGCCAAACTACATGACACTAACTGAAGAGAAATAGTGTCTCTCATGCCCCCTCTAGCCAGAATACCATCCAGCAGCCAGAATGATCCTTACACAAGCTAAATCAACCCCTGTCACTCCCCGCTACCCATTTCACTCTGAAAAACATCCTTACTCAGGCCTGGGAGGCCTTGCCCAGCGTGGCCCCTGCTCTTCCCCGGCCCCCTCTCCCACCTCTCTCCAGGCACTTGGCCCCTCGCTGTTCAGGGGCACACATACTCCTGCCTTAGAGCCTGTGCGCAAGCTGTTCCTCCTCCCTGGAATGCTTTTCCATGCGCCTGATCAATGCATTCAGGGCCCTGCTCAAAGATAGCCTTCCCGCCCCACCCTTTCTAAAATAGCAACCCCTTTGGCGCTTAGCTCCCTCTTGCATCTGCCCCTCCAGATCCACACACTTCTGCCTTCTCCGCCCTGCACTCTGCCCTGGGAAGCTGGCCAGGTGCTGCAGGCCTGTGCCCTCTGGCTTCCGGCAGAGAACAAACAGGCAGGATACAGAGGTGGGAGGGAGAGTGAGGTCATGGTGTTAATTCCTGGGCTGGCTCCCTCTCTGCAGGGTTGCTGTGTGCTGTCTGCCCCTCAAGGACCCAAGGCCTAGCTCCTGGCAGGCTCTCACGTCGTAGGCCTCTCTCTCCTTGTTCTGGTAACTGCTCCCTCCCCTCCCTGTCACTCACCCAGGTACTACTCGATCCCTTCGGTTCCCCTCTACCTTGCCCACTTCTTTGGAGGTAATCCCTTTATCAAACCTTTCTCGATTACCCAAAATACCCTATCACTTTTCTCTCAGGGCCCCAATTCACCACCCATCCTGTACCTGTCATCTGAACTGACACCCATCTGGACCATTAGGTCAGAGAGGTTGGTGCCTTTATTATATCTGTGCTGTATCACAACATCTGGCTCAGCATCTGCACAAAGTAGCTCGATAAATGTTTTTTGAATGAGTGCATGAGGAAGGGAAGGATCACTGTAATCTTGAGAGCACATGGAGGCTGGGAGGAGGACAAGATTTGGGGTGAAGAGCACCAAGGACGGCACAGGTGCTGTAGTGATGAGAACCCCCCTTCAAGCATGAAGGCCCCCTTCCATCACCTTAGCACCTCTCCGCACTCTGCAGTGCTTCAGGTTTGTTTCCCTTGTGTGTCTTCCCACTAGAATGAACCCCCTGGGGGCAGGGCCCACGGCCTGTCTTGTTTACTATGATATCCTTGGAGTCCGGCCTAGTACCTGGCATTCACGGAAGCCACCAGACCTGTATTTGTTGAACAAATGGAAGCAATGTGAGTTATCTGAAAAACAGTGAATTAGCAAAGGATCCTAAAGGCCAGATTGAGCAGTTTGGACTTGGAGTGAAGAGCAATGGGGAAGAACCGTCCGCAAGTCCTACTGTAGAAAGGAAAGTGACTAAGTTGGGGGCTCGTAGGAAGAGGGCCTGGCAGGGGACACAGGCTGGGGACGAGCAGGGAGGCTGCTGTAGCACCAGACCAGCAAGGAAGGGAGAGGTGGCAGAATCTGGTGACTGACAGAGGACAGAGACCAATGCAGAGGGAAGACTCGTGTTCAGCCCCGCGCCTGGGTGAGACAGGCTGTCAGGCCTGCAGTCCTGGCCCATGCGGAGCACTCCAGGGCCACGGCTGTGGGCCTCACTGTGTCCAACCTCGTCTGCGGTGGGAAAGCTGGGGAGTGGGGGAAGCGTGGATCAAACCCAGTCTGACCATTAAAAGTATAAGCAGACGGCTCGGCGGACAGCAAGGGACAGATGGATGTGAGGATTCCCGAGGGGGGAATAGCTGGAGGTGGAGGCGCAGATGAGCCATGTGGCTGGGCTGGCAGGGGAGTCTGGGAGGCGTGTCATTTGGGACGGCTCACAGCTGGGCAGACTAACGGGGACAAGCCAGCCAAGAGGGATGACAAGGTAGAATAACAAGGAAAGGAGGGCAATGTCCTGGCAGCCGGAGGAACAGCTTCCCAGAAGGGGCAGCCAGCAGGGTCACAGGCCACAGGTGAAGGCCAGGTTGGACTTCGCTGAGGGCTGCATCCTAGCGGAGCTCCAACTCTGGCCTCTGGGAGCAGCAGGGAGAGCCAAGGGTGCCAGGTTAGGTGGCTCCAGGGTTGGAAAGCGTTTGCTCCTGTCCTACCCGACATTCCTGGGCACACGCTCTGAACCTCGTTTGTGGAAAAGGTGCTGGTTGTCTGCAAAACCCGTTCTTTCCTTCTTTCTGGGGTGACGAGGCTCCCAGTTTTTACCTGGACCCAGAGCCCCCCAGCTGAACTCCACACGTCACTGTCTCGCAGCTTGGCAGGGCCACGCGGCTAACAGGTCCTCGGGGTCTTCACTGCCTTACACACACTGCCCTTCTCTCTCTGTCCCCTGGTGGGGATGGGGACCCAGAAGATGGACATAAGCATTACCCAAGGTGATGGAGGCGCCATGAGACAGGAGAGGACCCCATTAGGCCACCAAGCCAGCCTGGACCACCTACTCAGACTTTCAGAGAAAGCACACATTTCTGTCTTAAACCACTATATTTTGAGGACTTTTTGTTAGAGTAGCCTAACCCACATTGGACTTCACCATTCCAATCAGTAGAAATACTACCTCAGTTCAGATCACAAGTTGTTGCAGCTCAACTCTGCCAAGGGGCAAGATCCTTGCTCTCTGTGCATAAAGAAACCCTTGTCTCCTTAATAATCTGTTACAGGCCCATTATTCAGAAACGGATCAAGTCTCTCCAAAACCGCTGTCTCCTTCTCTGCATCGTGAGGGAGTGGAGGAGCGCAGGGACCGGCAGCGACACCATCCCTCTGCATAAGAGGTTCCGTTTCCGTCCAGTGTCCTTCTCGGACCTGCAAGCCAGGCGGCCAGGGGTGTGTGGTGGGGTCGCCCCAACGCAGACGTGATCGATGCATTTGAGGAAGAGAGGCAGGCATGGTTACGAGGCAACAGTGTGAAAGGTAAGCCACGTGAACCTGGGGCAGACGCCTGGGGGTGCACTGCAGCCCCCCCTCAGCTACAGATGTGAACAGTGAGAGCATCTACTTTTGAGGTAATTGTGAGGATGGCATGAATTAATAAGTGTAAGATACTTAGAACCGTGACTGGCAATAGTTCTCAATGAGTATTAGTCTTTATATATAATTTTAAAAGCAACGGAATTGAGGGGTGGGTTTTGGGGGGGGGCTAGGTGTATGTGTAGGGGCTGAGGGATTGAGCAAAACAAAAAAACGAGAAAAAACTTAGACATGGAAAATAGTGCAGTGATTGCTGTGGGTGGGGGATGGGGGCGGTAGAGGGTGTAGGGAGATAAATGGTGACGAAAACTTGGGGTGAACACATCATAGTGTAGATGATGTGTTGTGGAACTGCACCCGACACCTGTGTGGTTTTTTAAACCAGTGTCACCCCAGTAAGTGCAGTAGAAAGGGAAACTGAAGAGCAACAAAACAGCAGCGGTGTGGCGCTGGGACGACCATGCTCACGCGGCAGCTGCAGACATTCTCACGCAACCCCCGGTGGAGGCACCTGAAGCCACTCACAGGAAGCGGTGCAGACGTTTAGGCACCTGCTCCCCGCTCACCGCGGGCAGACCATGAACACCCGTGTTGCCCGGCCTGGCCTGGCCTCCACGGCCCCGGAAATACAATGCCGCTTTTATGCTTGTATCCCCCAAAGCCCAGACCATTTTGTTACTGGTTTCTCAGCCAACGCCCGAGGGAGCCTGCGCTACCGGGCACACGCTGTGCCCAGGCCCACACGTGACCAAGCTGCCCAGAGCTACGCACACACACTCGGGGTACAGTGAAATCCGGGTGAGCGCCGTCGGGTACACCAATGCCAATCTCCTGGTTTTGATACTGTGTTTATATGAGATGCCACCCATTGGGGAACTGCGTAAAAGGTACACATGACCTCCCTGAACATTTTCATCTGCAGTACTTGGTGATTCTATAATTATTTCAAAATTTTAAAAAGTCTACCAGAGATGTATAATGACATATTTATAGATTAAATGACAAAGGTCTTGGATGTGCTTTAAAAAATACTCCAGAAAAAGATAAAGAAAAATAAGTGGGAGAAATAGATAAAACAGAATTGAAAAGATGCTGGTAAGCATTAAGGCTGGGTGAAAGATGTATAGGGAAAATATATATACTTTCCTTTCTAATTTAGGGTTTGAAAACATCCAAAATAAAATTTCACTTAGCGGGGGTGCTCAGTTAACAAAAGGGCCACACCCCACTTCTCTGCTCAGAGCCTTACTTGTTGCTGTGACTTCTGAATACAAATTAAGATAAAAGCTTATAAAATTGTTCCATTGACAAAGTTTTGCTCATGACCTTTATTAAGAGCTTACAACTCACATTCTTAATCTGTGTTTACTACTTTTCCCCTCCAAGAACTGCCCCCAAATTATAAAAAATAGAAATGTGTCCATATACGCCGAGGAGTAGGCACAGCTTTTATAAAACGACGGTCCGGCCAGCGTTTCCAGCAGTCTAACCACCTCCTGGTGCCACCTCCAGCATGGAGTCCCTGCCGCAGAACTGGTGACTTCTCCAGATCTCGCCTTCTGCCGCAGCGCATGGCACTCCGGGGGTGGGTTCTGAATGGCAATGGCGGGAGGGCCCTCAGGAACACTGACAGGGTGACAGCTCTGGGAGCCGTGCAGACTGCAAGCCAGGAAGGTTTCCCCTGCCTCTGCCGCGACTCGGACCTGGGGCTGGCGTCAAACTCAACAGACCAAGAGTCGCCAAGAGCCAACCACAGACTCCCAGGGTCGGACGGGCCCACCTGACCGCTCTCAGCGGGAAGAGTTTCACACAGGTCACCACAAACCTGAAAAACTCGCATTTGGTCCAGAGCTGGGACCCCCTCTTCAGTGACTGACAAGCAGCCCTTCCTTCTCAGTGACGAGGTGGAGTGCCCTGCAGAACAGTGAGGCCAGAGGGACGTGGCGCCTGCCGTCGAGCCACCAAGTTTTTTGAGTTTTCAAGTTCACCAAGAGCATGGGAGATGGAGAGATGACGTGGGGCCAAGCGCAGGAAAGCCTGGTGCGGACATGAGGGCGGCGCTAGCCCGGGGCGCGCCTCGTCTGTCCCGCGGCAACCTCCAGGCGCCACGGGCACGTCTCTTCCTTCGGAGACCAGCCAGGAGGGACCGGCTCGCCCAGCATCTTCCTTAAGCACTTGTTTTCTGATCTGCAGAGTACACGTAGGATGAAATCTCTCCCCGGGAAGCAAAGAGATTGAACAGATTCAGACCTGCTTCTGGAGGAACACCCGGCCTGGCTGCTGGCTCCCATCAGCGCGCTTCTGCGTAAGGTGGGAGCGCGGCTTTCTGCCCGCGCCGCCCCCCAGCACACCAGCCAGGCTTCTCTGCTCTCAGGGCGCAGGGCCAGCCCAGCCCTCAAGAACTCAGGCCCACTCTCCGCGCCCCATCAAATCCCTTCCCTGCTGTTTACAATTGGTGATTCCTCTCTCAAGTCACAGCACGACATATCACTGACAGAGGCTCTTGTCAGAGAAAACTCTTCCCAGGATGGGGCAGGCCTTGGTCGTTCCCAAGCACACATTCCAAGAGGGACAATAAATGATAAGTGTTCCAGCAGAGTTGCCTTGTTTCAGGGAGCCCCCATCAAAGGCTGATGAGACTCGGTGCACGGCTATGCACCGCTCCCCTCCACGTTAGGTTTCTGCTCCCACCTCCCAGTTCCTGCCGGCCCCACCTCAAGGAGTGACATGTGGGCCTCCTGTCCCAAGGTGAGGGAAGGCAAAGTCACCTCTGGTCAGCTCAACAGGGCACGTGAAGCCCAGGTGAGGAAAGACATAGGAGGTTTTAGGATGATATGCTGGTGCTACAAATCGTCTGTGGTCAGTAACAGGCGTCCTAATAGCCTGAAACAGAAACAGGCAAACAGTCTCTCTGGCAACAAGTCGAGAAGGCGCCGGACCCTCCTTTCCCGCCGCCCTGCCTGGTTTCAAAGGAATCAGGTCTCGTGACAACAGATGAAGTTATCGGCTGCTCCTGTGCCCTACAGTACAGCCTGGTTGGTTAAAAAGGCCTCCTACTATTACCATCATACCTTCCTCAACCCAAACACCCAGTGAAAATAGGAAATCTTAACACAGAGTTTGCTATTAAAATCTTGTCCGGTCACACCGCAGCAGCCTCGGCCGACCAGGGGAAGGCCACCCTCTCTGCTTCCCTTGAGTGACTTCAACTCCCTCAGGAGGGTGGTGTCCACATCTCTGCACAGGGCAGGCTTCCTTCTCAGCTCACGAGAGAGACCTGGAAAGAAAAGGAATCCATGGAGCCTGCCTGGTGGGGCCCCGCCTGCCCTCCTTTAGGAGGCAACAACTCCAGGGCTGTGAGGGTTGGTCCCGGGGCAGCAGGAAGCTCAACATCTATACAGTGAGAGGTACACACGGGGGATGAGTAAGGAGAGAAAAGGGAAAACACTTCCTCTCGCTACAGTAGCTCTCCCCAAGGTTTACACCCACTGGTGAGCCTCTACTTTCTGCCAAGAAGCAGAGAAGACCACCTCTTTGGCCAGAGAAGCCTCTTTGCACCCCCTCTTCCAACTTACTTCTTCCTGCGGATCTTGGGTTTCTTCACAGGGCGCAGGTAGGGGTTATCGATGATGTTCTCTTCCCCGTTCCGGCTCCCCGACAAGGAGGGGTTCTGCTGCAGGACAGAGGTATTCTCCTTCTCGGCTCCAGAATCATCCTTTGAGCAAAAGCCAAAGTAAAGCAAAACACTAACAGCACAAGGAAAGAGACGATGCCCATTATGAGAACTGTGAGCATCCTCTCACAGAGGAACTGGAAGCTGGGGGACCACCTTCTTTCCAAAGTGCCTATCTCTGCCTCGGACCAAACGAGGCCCAGGCAGCAGCTGGCTATCAAAGGAGGGTGAGACCAACAGCTCCAACACAGTGGAGCACAGAACACAAAGCCCTGACCGCTTGACAAGGCAGGGACATGAGTCACAAAGAATGGAGACCTGGGAGGGGCAAGGGGTCAGGATCTAAAATGCTGGTGCTCAAGAAGGAAGCCCAACCTGTGGGGTGATAAGGAAAGACAAGTGAGCCTTTATGCTTTACAGACACAGGGTCTGAGCAAATCACACGAAGAGGGCCTCTCCTGAACCAAAGCCAGTGGAGAGCAGAATAGGCGACCTCCACCCCATTTTCTCAAACGCATGGTACCTGCAACACAGTACCAATCGTGATCATATTGCAGTAGACGCCAGGGACTTCCTGGGCCCTGAGAGCCCGTCCCACCAAGGTAAGCAGAGTGCTGGCACCGACACAGGACCACCACTGAGGACCCCCATCTGCGACCTGGGAATCAGGTCTCTCATAGTTTGGTTTTTGAAGAAAGTGATAATGCAGGAAAGTTTTTAAGTTTACATACATTCAACATGACCCCAATTAAAAATTTTTAGAAGTCACTATTGCATGTAGACACAAAAAAGTCATGTTGAAATTTTAAAAACTGGTTCTGGGTATAAGGGTGATTGATTCTTCTTATTTATATTCGCTTCTAATTTCTAAGTCCTGTAAAATGAGCAGAAGCTGCAGGGGAAAGAGGGCAAAATCACATGAAGAACTTGACCTGGGAGCTCATACCTAAGTGACTGTAAGTGACCATAGAAGCTGGTTGGGCCGTGCCCCCTGGTGATAGACCAGGGCGGTTCTGTCACTGAGATTTCTGTTCTGTGACTTGAGGCAGAAGAGGAGCCGACCTCAACCGAAGATTCTGTTGTCAAGAGACAGCAGGGCAGAAGGCACTGCTCAGAGGGCAGAGGACGAACAGCAGGCTCCCGCAGGCACCGCTGGCCCAGCAGGCGCGCAACACTCCTGGGCTCCGTGAACCTGAGGGACTGGATCACTCCGGGTCCCGCTGCGTGTTCTTGACTGTCCCATCAACTGTGTCCCCCCCAAACACCCAGGCCTGTGCAGGAGCCTTGTGCTTTTCCTCTCCCGACCCTGATCTCACGGGACCACAGGTGACTTAGAACAACCACAGACCTTCTGGAGGCTCTCCTGAAAGTGAGTGTCCCAAGATCCACCTAGCTCAGGCCAGACACAGGGGCTACAGCCTCCAGACCTGCCTTGGACACCTGGCTGCTAACCTTTTCAAAGTTCCTTATGGCTTAATTTAGAAACCACCCCGACCCACCTCTTATCATTTACTATGGTCAATGCCCTATCTTTAGAGTTACTGGAAGTTCACTTCGACTGTGCCTTGGAGTTTCCTGAAGTAAGGATGGAGGAGACCTGGAGTGCTGGAAAGCCAGCCTCCGCCTGTGCCGGAGGGCGCAGCGGCTCCCTCCCTTTGGCTCCCTGTCTCACAAGGCCAGGGTGTGGGTCCCAGTCACGGGACCACAGCTTTTCTTCTCCCAGGCAGAGTTTCTGGAAATGCTACTTCCTTGCCTCCCTGAGGGACAGGTAGCCTTGAGGGACAAGAGTAAATAAAAGTAGTAAAGTACCAAACCAACCGTGATTTGTAAAAACAGTGGGAGCAGAAGGGTCTTTCTGGAAAGGCCAGACTCAGGCAATGTGTGCGTGCTAACGAGCCCCTCATCCCCCTCCCCCCGGGGTGACTGCACCCAGTCCCATGGCCTCAGTGTCCTTTCCACACCAACAACTCCCACCCGCACGGACCTCTCCCCACCCCACCTGTCCCCGCCTCCAGGCTCACATGGCCACGGCCACAGCCACAGCCACTCAACCTCTCCGCTTGAGTGTCAAGCAGGCACCTCAAACTTATGAGCCTAAAACTGCACTCTGGACCTTCCCCTGTGCATGAACAGCCCTTCCCGTGGTCCTCCTGACTGTACCCTTCCAGTTGTTTAAGCCAAGAACTCCAGTCAGTCTTGCTTGTTTTCTTTCTGACATCCCACATCCAATCTGTCAGGAAAACCTCTTGGCCTTTCCTTCAAAACACAGGCAGAATCTGACCACTTCCAATGTCCCTGTGTGACCACCCTGGTAGGCAGGGCCCACCACTGCCTCCGGCCTGCACGCTGGCAGCTGCTCCCTAACTACCTCCCTCTACAGCTCCTCCTCTGCCAGCCCGGCTCCGGTCCCTTCCCTCACAGCAGCAGTGATCCAGAAGTTCATTCACATACGTCCCCCCTCTGCTCTACACCTTCCCACAACTCCCATTTCGCCCAGCTGAAAGCCAGCTCTGAAAATGGCTTACAAGGTCTACGTGATCTGCTCAAACGTCACCTTCTCAGTGGTGTCTACCCTGAGCACCCTATTTAAAACCGAAACCCCCACCCTTCACCCTGGGTCTTCTGTCTCCCCAACGGCACTTTAATCTTTAATACACTACATAAAAATGTATCTATATGCTCCATTTACTGTCGTTCCCCCACTGCCAACTCACAGGTCCTGAAAGGTGGATGTTTTCTTCCTTCTGTTCACTGTTGTGTCCCAAAGACCAGGAACCATGTCTGGCCCGTATCACCCAGTGCTAAACAGACAATGACGCTACGCTGTTCATAAAAGAGCAAAAGTTTCAACACTGAGATACCTGCAGGAGACAGCCAGTTCAAAGGGAAGAGAAAAAGAATTCTATCACACACCGATTTAACATGAACAGCCCCTTTATGTTCAAGTAGACGGAGAAACCAGACCGGGTTAAGTAAAAACCACGTAGCAACAGTTCTTGCCAGACAGGCTGCTATCAAAAGATAAAAGAATAAAATACCAGTTATTTAACTAACTAACAAAGTCTGCAAATGCTAAAGATGGAAACGCCCTTAATGCCCACAGGGCAGTGGTCAAGCTTCACTGTCGCGTCCATGTGGCAGCGCACGACGAGGCTGAGAGTAGGGATGGGGACGCTCGTCACGCACGGACACGAACGATCGCCCAGACACACGAGGAGGGAGAACTGCAAGGGGGAAGGAACCGCTTGCGACTTGCTGCTTGTTTAAAACAACAATAAAAAACCGTGTGTCTAGAAGGACACAAGGAGACTGGTGACTGCTGGCTTTGTAGGTGGGAAAGCCAGGAACAAGGATGACAGGAAGAATTATCACCGTACTTCTTTTTACAGATTTTAAACATATATTTGCCGTCCAACAAAGTAATAAGTCCATTCGGCTATATGTAATTTGTTGCTAGAATCCTTTTCTCGAAGTCTTTTCATTTATTTTTCACAGCCCAAAACAGCTTGGGAGGGAGCAATGGGGGCCACGAGCTGCCATGTGCCAGGCACCTGATGTATGAGCTCATTTAACTCAGGCTCCCGCTTCCCCTTGAGGTGGGTGCGCCTATTCCTGTTTGTCCTTGTGAGGAAACAGACTCAGATGTTGGGTGATGCCACTACAGCCATGTATCGGGAGAGCAGCACGGTCTGGATCTGAAGCCAGCCCAGTCCACTCCGAGAGTCAGGTCTTCCTGCCCTTTGCCGTCTGGCTTGGCCTCTCGGAACCTCAGAATGCCAGGCGGCTCCTGACACTCTTTCAGCCTCGACTCACACACCGCCATGACCTCCCCTAGTCATTACCTGACATGTTAGACCATACATCTGCAAGTCCTCTAACTACTTTGTATTTACAAAGAGACAGTGACGTTTGCTTAGAAGATTCCTCTTTCTCATAAGGTGAACCTCAGCTTAGTCCATCACCCAGCTGCCCTCTCAGACCAAGCCAACTGACCCCATAACAGAAGTGCAGAGTAACAGGTTACTCTGCTTTATGTAAAGCTGTGGGCTTCTAGCCTTAATTCGGAAAGCAACTGTTCAACGTGAAAGAAATGTGTGTTCGAGCAGGGACGGGTGTCACAGACACAGACATGGCACTGGCCCTCTCCGCCACCGGCTACAGCTGCTGGCCGCCACCTGTGCACCGTACCTCGGAGAATGCAGGGACGTTTAGTCCAACTTCAACCACTAAGGCATTCTTTGCTCAAAAGCCAAGGCCAATCTTAAGAACAAATGGACATGGTGACCTGACTTTAAAGGGTTCTCTAAGCCTTAAGCAAGGGTGTCCAACCTGCTGCCTACGGGCCGCACGCGTCCCAGGATAGCTGGGAATGAGGGCCAACACGAAATCGTAAATTTACTTAAAACATTATGAAATTTTTTATGATTATTTGGTACAATGTATTTAATGTGTAGCCCAAGACAACTCTTCTTCTTCCAGTGTGGCTATTGTGCTTTTCCTCTCCCAACTGCACTGCCCAGTATGGGAGCCATGGCTATTACAATGTGGCTAGCGTTAACTGAGACAATAGAGTTTCAGTTTTCTTAATTTTAAGTGATTTTAAATTTAAATAGCTACATGTGGCTACTGTAATGGTCAGTGCAAGTCTCTCCTCACCCGCCGATTGCTCTTCCCCCATCCTGCCCCTCACCGCAGGCCCTTGCTCTCACTCTCATGATACCTGCTCTCGTTGAGATCACACGTTACACTCACATCACAAAGTCCAATGGACGAATTCTCAGTCCTCATATTACTGAAACTAACTGAAGGTTTTGACACGACCACTCTTCTCTCCCCGAAACACTTCCTTCCCTCAGCCTCCAGGACACCGCAGCCTCTGGGTTCTCCCGCCTCTCCAGCTGTGCCCTTGCCACCTCCTCATCTGAACAGCAGAGAGCCCCAGGGCTCAGTCCTTGTACTTCTTCTGTCCACTCATTCCCTAGGAGATCATCTAATCCTAGGGAATTACACCATGGTTTTACACCATGAGTCATGTGCTGCTAACTCCCAAGTTTGCATCTATAGCCCTAGCGGCCTCTCAAACTCCAATTCGTACAGCATCTCTCTACCCGCATCACCACCTGGATGTTTAATAAGCATCTCAAACTTACCTCCTGTAAACCTGACCCCCTGGCTTCCTCCCCAACCCCCATACCTGTTCCACCCAGCAGCCTTCCCTGTCACGGTTAAAGGAAACTCCATCTTTCCTGCTGTTCAAGCAAAAAACCTTGCGCTTACCTTTGACTCTCCCCTCTCCCATCTCACACCCACTCCATCTGTAGGCTCTACACTGAGAATAATCTAGAATTTGACCAGTAATTTATCTGACCATGTGTCATTATATTTGCTTCTACCATCATCTCTCAGTTTACTGCAAGAGCCCCCTAACTGGTTTCTCCGCTTCTCCTCTTACCTTCTAGTCTACTCTCAACACAGCGACCTGACTGATGCTGGTGGCAAACCCACCCCGCTCCTGGCCCTCCTCTGCTTGGCATTTCCCACGGCTCCCACCTGGCTGAGAAACAGCCCATGTTTAACAGAGCCTGTACGATCTGACTCCCCTGGAGCTCTCTGCTCTCACGGCCGACTTCCTCCCGTGTTCATCCTACCCTGGCCGCCCGAACGGCCTTGCTGTTCTCCAACACAACGGCTCCCACCTCTGGGCCTTTGCACCTCTGATCCCTCTGTGAGGAATGCTCTACTCCCAGATATGTGTTAAGCCGTGTTCTGTCAGGTCTGTACTCACCTGTCACCTTCGCAATCACCCTAATACCACATTTCCCCATGCCCACAGTTACTTCCCATCTCCTTGTTTATTATTTTGTACCTCAGCTCCATGAGGGGAAGAAATCCTGTCCATTTTGTCTCCTGCTAAATCCTCAGCACCTGGAACTGGGCCAGGCTCTGGCAGGTGCTCATTCAGTATTTATTGACTGACTGACAATGCCCAGGACACGGTCTTGCCTCAAGCTACAGATCATGTCACACCTGGATCATCACGAGCCCACCATGCAAGTCCCTAAAGGCAGAGACCTGGGACAGGTCACGTCCAATTCCCAGGACGACAGGCTGAGGGCAGTGTGGGCTAGTCTGGGGGTTACTCTGAAGCAGGCAAAAGGCAGGCTCACCGTGCTGATGTGAAGAGGGAGGTTCTCTGTGTCGGTCTGCTCATCCTGCTCTGAGGAGTCGGTCTCCTCCATTTGTTGCATCTCCAGTTCAGATGGAAGAAGAGCGGTCAGGTAGGGGATGGAGAAAGGTCGGGCAGCAATCACTGTGGGATTGGAAGAGAGACGCGGTTCCACTGTCACAGAGTCCTTGCGAATGGCCCAGGGCCTTACAAGAGATCAATGAGCAGCACCAAGTGACGATGGCTGGCACACTCTGAGCACATGGCCAGGCCATGTTCCACAGGCTTTACACGTACTCCCTTCAGTCGTCACCTCCACGACACCTGCTGAGTACAGTTCCCAGCCCCACTGTACAGATGAGGATCCTGAGACAGTGAGGTTGAGTGACTTCCTCTGGCACACAGAAAATAGCAGAGTGGGATATGAACTTGAGCACTATAACTTCAGAGCTCACTTTCCCCAAGGACGTCTAAAATCAGACAGAACTGGGGCTGAATCCTAGGAAAGCATCAGCTCAGTGACCTTATACCCAAAGCCAGTTAACCCTCAGCCTCATATCTAGAGCACATACTGATCCAAAAGGCCTGAGGGATTCAAGTCAAATGTGGACTTGAGAACTCTCAGCATGTAAGTGCGTCCACTGAGCGGGAGGGCATGTCAAGTAAATACATTCTCATTTTTCCGAAAAGCACTGAGGATGAGGAGAAATTGTTGCCAAAATGAATAAATAAATAAATAAGCAAACACACACAAAAAAGTCTCTCCGTATGGTAGAACATGATTATCAGGACTCAGTCTAAGTTTGAAAGCTACTAGCTGTGTGACCTTGGCCAAGTTACTTCCTTTCTCCTCTTTATAAGCACTGGCTTCCTACAATGGTGGTGATAAGGGCATCTGACTCAAAGGCTCCTGGGAGGATTTAATGAGATGATCCAGGGAAAAGGATTAGCACACATGTGGAACTCAACAACTCAGCTGCTCTCATTTCAGGCCCCAGCACACACTGAACACTCACCGACTGAATGAATCACTCTGACCACTCTCCCTGGAAAACCTGAGGCCTACAAAGGTGAGACGGCCTGGTGTCAGGGCGAAACAGCAGTGCCGAGATGAGAAATGAGAAGGTACCTGAGCGAGGACAGTGTTCTCTAACTGCCCTGCCCCCCATGCCACTGTCCCTTCTACCTCCAGAGCTGCCACTTCTACTGCATGAGTCTCTCTGACACCCAGGAATCAGTCACCCTTGAGGTAACCTAAACCCAATGTACCTGAAGTGACCAATCCCGACAGAGGCCATTACTGTTCAGACTCATCAGTTAGGGACCAAGGCCTTAAGACCTGGGAAAAGGGGCCAGAAATCTGAAGAACGAGATGCACCCAAGACAAGAACAAAGCTTGTTTGTTTCTTCCTACCAGGGTGAGAGTAAGGGAAGATGCTGCGATTATCTCAAATGACACGACAGGTCCAAAGAGGGGAAAGATTCTCACATGGAAACGTGCTGACGTCATCTTTGAAAAGACTCTGGGTCTCGCCTGTCTTGGCCATAAAACGGGTGAGTGCCCGCTCCACGTCACGTCTCTGGGATGCAGCCTTCTCCCGCAGGACCTGGTAGTCGGACACAGGCTCGCGGTATGTCTAAAAAGAACAGCAAAGACACTGCGGTAATACCGATAGATCATTCCGCTCTGCTCGGGGACCTGCCTTGCCGTTTCTTTGTCCTCCCACTCTTTAAAGGACCCACTACCACCATCACTTAGAGCAGGGATCCCCAAAGGGCGATGGAAGGGAGAAAGAAATCGATGAAGTATTATTAATATTTACTTTCCATCTGAAAAGTTCCGAAGTGTACAAATGTTTACTACGCATTGACCCCGAGTCTCCAATCGGCTCCCGTGACAGCTGGTCTCAGGTGTCAGCAAGGCCGAAGTAAGAGTGGGAGTCCCCCGTGGGAGCCCGGGTAGGGACCAAGGGTTCCATCGGGGGGATGTGACACCCTGTAGTACACGAGTGGCTGCTTAGATGGATCCACGCATTGTCCATCTTTTTAAAAAATATTTTATTTTTTAGAGAGAAGAGAAGGGAGAGAAACATCAATGTGTAAGAGAAATGTCGACTGGTTGCCTCTTCCATATCCTCAGCTGGGGACCTGGCCTGCAACCCAGGCACACGCCCTGACTAGGAATTGAACCCAGAACCTTCACAGGCCTGCGCTCAACCCACTGAACCATACCACCCAGGGTGCATCTCGTTTTCTTAATTCAACCTTTGCAAAATGGGTATGTCCCCAAAAAATCCCTCAAAGAAATACAAACTGATGATATCAATATAAGTGCAAGTACAAGAAATGGAAAGTCCTCACACTCCTCCTGGTCCTAATTCTGAGCTCTTTGGCAGTTAGTTGGTAGAGTAAAAAATGACTGAGATCTAGTCAGAGCAAGAAGCTGGCAAAAGCACTGGTACAGGTGACATTGTAAAAATGACCAAAAGAGTAACTACTCTTTGTGATATAGAGATAGGATTAAAAAAAAATCCTTCCCCAAGGATATGTTTACTGATTTGAGAGAGGGAGGGCAGGAGAGATGGAGGAAGGGGGCAGAGAGAGACTGAGTGAGAGAGAGAGAGAGAGAGGGGAGTGTGGAGGGAGAGGGAGACATTGATCGGTTGCCTTACATATGTGCCCTAACTAGAGATCGAACCCACAACCCAGGTACGTGCCCTGACTGGGGACTGATCGCACAGCCCTTTGGTGTACGGATGACGCTCCAACCGAGCCGCCCGGCCAGGGCTGAGGCAGGACTGTTAAAGGGGCCCCTGAAGACACCCCCTACTGCCAGTGCTGACCCGGCAGGGTCACGTGCACGCAGTCCCCCGGGCACACTCAGACCCAGAAACGGGGCTTTCCGACACGTTTAAAATGGTCCCAGAATGAACGGACTTTGAACATACTTGTCACAGACATTAAAAATGTGAGGTCTTACCATCATTTTTAAGAAAACCGAGATTCAAGAAGCTGGAAATTGAATAGAAAATTTTAAACAAAATTCTTCAAATAACTGGTGAGAATAAAAAAATTAGTTTTGGGATGTATTAAGGGGAGCCAACAATGCTGCATATCTTTGTAATGTGCCTTTTCAACTATGAAAGCTGTTAAAGTATTTAAATGAACCGATTTTAGAATCAGAACTCTAACTTACTATTCCACAAAGATTGAAGGCCTGTGATTTCAAAACAGAATAGCAGAGGCCAACATATGGCGGCCCCTATAATGGAGCAAACAGGTCTCCTGAGCCTTCAATAATGACCATATCATCTTTTAATGTCCATTTTTTAGTAGAGTGTCACACTATAATAGTCATGTAAGTAAGCATGAATGTGTATGGAGCATGTACTTACCATTTTTACTGACAGAAATACACTGTAAAAGAGTCAGAGACTGTTACTGGTTGGGCTGTGTCCCCAAGTGTATGGCCATATCATCCCGAATGTGCCTGATCTCATCTGAACTGTGTCCCCTAAAAAGTAGGTTGAAGTTCCAACCCCTGGTGTCTCAGAATATGACCTCATTTGGAAACAGGGTCGCTGCAGATGTGTTCAGTTAAGGAGCGGTCATATGAGAGCAGGGTGGGACCCCACTCCCATACAAACGACACCCTTGTAAGAAAACGGCCCTGTGAAGACAGACACAGATGGCGCGCCCCAGGAAGACAGAGGACTGGAATGCTGCCTGTACGAGCTGAGGGGTGCCCACGGAGTGCCCACAAACTGCCAGAAGCTAGGAAAGGCAAAGAAAGATCCTCCTACAAGTTCAGAGGAGGCATGGCCCTGGCAACACCTTGACTTTGGGCATGTGCCCTCCAGAGCTGTAAGACCGAAAATGTCTGCTGTTCTACAGCACCTGGTGTTTGTGGCACTTTGTGTCAGCAGCTCTGGGCCCCTGGCACAGAGACCGCCGGTCCAGAGCAGCAGCTGCGCTGCAATGGGAGGTGACCGACTACCCCTGCCCCGTGTCGAGTACAGAGAAACGGCCTGGAGGGCTCGTCTCCGCTGCCCGCATGATGCCACGTCTGCGCCCAGACCTGGGGTGGAGGCGGGGGAGGAGGAGGTGTGTGGAAGGGCCTCTGGGGACCCCTCTGTGCACTGCACCGTCCCCAAAGGAGGGCAACTCTGCTAATCTGGTGAACGAGAACAGGCACGAACACGGCAGACAGATCCATTTGTCCTCATTCAGACCCAGAATCAGAGTTCCAGTAAGTTTTACTTCATGTTGCCACCGAGTATGTTTTAAACAATCTTTACTCCAATCTCAAAAATAACTCCTTTTCTATGGAAAGTTTAGAAAACCCAGAAAAGCACACACAAACAACACACACACAATTACCTATGGCCCACTGAGAATTACTATGAACATTTTGTGGAATATCTTTCCAGTCTCTTAATGTGGCTAGGTCCTTCTGTGTTTTGGTGTGATGGGCAAAACTGCACAGACTTCAATTTCTTGTTAACTATATTTTTGTCAGCCAGCTAGAGAACATAATTCTCCTTTGCCAACTTGTTTATCAACAAGACAAGACATTCTGACTTCTGAGCCCTCCTTTTACCAACAAACTTGCTGTCCAATAGTCAGTAGGAACTCACTGCTGTGCATTAGTTACAGCCCCCACCATGTCCCTGTCACTCACCGGAGTTTTGATGTAGGTGTGGGGGTCGGGGAACTCAGGGAAGTGGCTGGGGATGTGCGGCGGGTGGGGTCGGTTCTGCCCTGCAGTGAGAGCCTTGGGGGCCACTGGCTGATTGGTCACCGGAGCTGCAACAGAGTCACCGCTTGTTACTCCTCCACCCAAACCCTGCTTTTCTCAAAGTAAATGCTGGACCTCAATTTTCTGAACATCGGGTACTTCATATTTCTATTTTAATAGGCCTTTAAGGACTTAAGGTCCTGAAGTCACCCCCACATGCCTAGCCCTGCTGAATGACCTTGGGTGACACTCCCACCTACAACAATCTGCCTGCGTGCCTCTTAGGCAGGTGAGTGGGTGGCTGTGACAACGTCCACTTCACAGAAGAGCACAGTGAGGATGCTGAGGAACTAAGGAGTTAGACGGGCTGCTTACTCACTTTTCATGGAGCCGAGATAGCAAAGATATACAATATGCCAGGGTAAGTAAGTGCGGGCCAATGACAACGACAGGGGATTGAAAATGGTGCCTTCCACTGATCCTGGGCAGGGCAGCTCTTCAGAAGATTGAAAAAAAAGTGATGATAAAAAAAATCTAGTGAATTCTCCCCAGGCCCTGCAAGCCCACACTCACTAGCCCGAACTCAGTTTACAGCGCTCAGCTTCCGAGGCACAGGTCATTGTACTTTTGTGTAGAGACAGAGTATTTTAGGTTCTGCAGGCCTACAGTCCACCACCACTGCTCAGTGCCGCCGTTACAGCACGAAGCGACCAAAGTAAGGAACCGTGGCTGTGTTCCAACAGAACTTCATGATGGAAACAGGTGGCGGGCTCCATCGGGCCTACGGACCATAGTCTCTGACCCCCGGTCTAAGAACAAGAAGAGCTGTAGCATTTTTAAATCAGCAGCAACGGCCCCCCTGGGGCTAAAGCACAAGAACCACAGTGACATCTCAGAGACGGTTTTCCTTTCCAGTGACTGAGTTTCACATCCCAGTCGTATCAGCCCAAACAAAGATATTATATGTATCCCCAAATAATGGAAGGGAGCCTGCAATAAGGAAGTAGCTAAACAAACTGATCCCTGCCCTATTCAGTTAGTTCATTCCACAAGCATATTGAGTGTTACTGAGAATCTCGGTTCAAAGGCACTTACGAGCAGTGATGACCATCCTCTGAGACCGTTTTGCATAGGCAGGGAGAGTGTCCACATTAAAACCTAAGTATTAAGAAAACAAAAGTCACTGCCAAGACCACTGGATACTGAACATGGAAGAAGGAATAATATTGCGTTGAAATAGCTTAAACTCCCAACTCGAGGCTTTTGCTGCCTCTGAGAAGCAGCTTCAGCAGAAACCCCAAAGGAGTGAGGAGGTCTGTTAAAGGGAACCTTCTATTAATAACCCTCTCAGGCTGACGGCAGACCGGAAGAACCAGGAGATTTCAAAAACGCTCAGCAGACATGACTGACTCCGGGGACTCCTGGCTCTCCCGTAACTCCAACTCAGCTGCACCGAAGAAGTGGAAACTTGTGTACTCACCCATCTCAACAAGTGTGACCACGATATCTGAGAGCGTGGGCTGGGTCCTAGCTGTATGCTCACAGTAAGACTTGGCACTCCTCCCAATTTCTGAAATGTCTAAGAAAGGATCAAAGGCATAAAGTCTTATTCTCAGTTTCCAAAAAGTTAAGCACGGAATAACAGTAAGAGCCAGCAATTCAACTCCTGGGTGTATACCCAAACAAACAAATTGAAAGCAGGAACTCAAAGAGATACTTGCATACCAACGTTCATAGCAGCATTATTCACAATAGTCTGAAGGTGGAAATGATGCAGTGCCCACTGAAAAATGAACGGAAGAACAAATGTGGTCTAGACAGTCTGTCCAGAAAAAGTCCAGCCACTGTTACTATAACGAGAACAGTTTGAGTGACATGGATGTAACCTGGCAGCCAAGGAGAGTGGACTGGAATGTGTATGTGTGAATGACAACTTCACTGTCCTAGTCAGTGAGGGCAGTAGATGCCAGTGAGTGAGCACGTGCACTGTGTGGCTGTCACATTAAAATGACTGAGTGAGTACAGTAATGAATCTGCATCAAATTTTGTGTTAAGCTTGAACATTCCTCTGAGGAAGCTATTTGGATGATTCAGAAGGCTGCAGCTATGGGCAGCTTCATCACGACAACACGCCTGTTCATGCATGTCTTGTGGAGTTTTTTCTGCCAAACATCAAATCACCCAGGTGACTCAGCCCCCCTACAGCCTAGATGTGGCACCCTGTGACTTCTGGCTTTTCCCAACACTAAAATCACCTTTGAAAGGGAATAGATTTCAGAATGTCAGTAAGATTCAGGAAAACACAATGGGGCAGCTGATGTCAATTGGGAGACCTGTGTGAGATCCCAAGGTGTCTACTTTGAAGGGGACTGAGGTGTCATTGTCCTATGTACAATGTTTCTTGTATCTTGTATCTTCTTCAATAAATGTCTCTGTTTTCCACAGTACATGGTTGGATACCTTCTGGACAGATTTCATATCCATACAACAGAATATTACTTAGCCATAAGAAAGGAATAAAGTACTGAGACACGCTACAACGTGGATGAACCTTGAACACATTATACTAAATGAAATAAGCCAGACGCAAAATCAAATGTTTTCAGATTCTACCTATATAACCGAAAAAAACCAATTCATAGAGATGAAAAGCAGATTAGAGGTTACCAGGGACTGAGGGTAAAGGGGACTAGGGAGTTGTCATTTATGGGCACACGATTTCTGTTTGGAATAACGAAAAAGGGTCAATGGCTCTATAACACTGAATATATGTAATTCCACCAAATTGTATACTTAAAAAGGGTTAAAATGGTAAACTTTGTTATGTATATCTTGCCACCAAAAAAAAAAAAAAAGGTCTTATCATCTGCGTGGTCTGCCTAACACTGAACCTCTGTGTAAGAGTCCTGCTAGCCCTGCCCTGGCTGGAGCGCTGTCCTGTGACCAACAGGTTCATTCCTGGCCAGGGCACAGGTCTGGGTTTGTTCCCCAGCTGCGGGAAGCAATCAACCTATGTTTCTGTTTCTCTCCCCTCCACTTCCTTTCCCTTCCGCTCTCTCTAAAGTGAGAACAAAACAAACCTTAAAAAAAAAGTCACGCTAGCCTTGACTGGCGTGGCCTGGTGGGTTGGGTGTCATCCCACAAACGAAAGGTCACTGACTGTGGGCCGCGTGCCCGGGTGGCAGCAGGCAAGAGGCTACCAATAGACGTTTCTCTCACATACCAATGTTCTATCTCCCTCACTTCCCCCTCCTAAAAATAAATGAATAAAATCTTTTCTCAAAAATGTGTTTTTAAGCCCTGGCTGGTGTAGCTCAGTGGATTGAGCACAGGCCTGCGAACCAGAGGATTGCAGTTCGATTCCCAGTCAGGGCACATGCCTGGGTTGCAGGCTGGTTCCCTGCAGGCCAGTTCCCAGCAGGGATGCTCAAAAGGCAACCCTACATTAATGTTTCCCTCCCTCTCTCATTCCTCTCTGAAGATAAATAAGTAAATAAAAAGTCTTAAAAAAAAAAAGAATGTGACTTTAACTTGAAACATTAAAAAAAAAGTGTTTTGAAATAAAAAGAGTCATGCTAAAGTCCTTCAGAGGAAAGGGGAAGGTAGGAAGCTAGACTCCATAAATAGGCCTCCGAAGTGGTTGGGAAAACTGAGCCCGTGCTCAACTGTACATACACACAAAAGCCATTTTCTGGGGATGGAACCACAGAATTCATTAGATGTAAAAGGGGTCCAATAGGGTATGAAACCCCGGCTGTAGAGGCCCAGCGGTTCAGAAGATACAAGCACAAGTGCTGCTTGACAGGGAAGGGTGTCGAAGTAAGAACCTGTCCCCAACTCACAGTGCTACCCGAGCAAGTCGCTAACAGTAGCCCCCACATGTGAAAACAGTGGGCCGCATCTGTTTACTGAGGGGAAAATCTAATGGGAACTACCGGATCATTCCTTTAATTCTCCAAATGTGGTCTGGGAATCCCTGGGTGACCCTGAAAAACTTTCCAAAGTCCACAGGCTGAAACTGTTTCCATAATAAAATTAAGACATTGTTTGACTTTTTCATTCATTGTCTCATGTAGTTCTCCAGAAGCTGTATGACGTGTGATGACGTCATGGTTCTGATGGATAACAGAGCTCATCCTTGTTCATTCTTACATTTTAAAATTTTCTGTTTTGTTGGGAACCATCCTGCCTGGTTTCAGAAGCTGTAAGCCCACTGACAGGCAAAAAGGCCCCATGGCTAGGCGCCCTTGGGACCATAAGCCACTAAAGAGACAAAACTTATCCTCCTGGCAGGGGTGCAGCCTCTGTCCCCTTTACTTCACCCTGCTTGGCCTCTGGAGGATGGCTGGATAGTCAATGACGGGTAAGATTCCTCAAAGAACACACAGTCACGAAGGGACCATCAGGGAAAGACTTAGGGGATTGTGAAGAAGAGACAAAAAAACCCCGCCCTTCGGCTTTATCATAGCCTGAGTCCTCATTCTACCTGTAAAAACTCTTCTAATCTCTTGGTGGCCTTGCTTCCCCCCACCCCCGCCCCCAATTCAGGCCTGAAACAGTGCTGAAGGGGGTACAGTCCTGTGCTGGAATGGCCAGTTTCTGCTGGAGCGGCGATTGGACCTAAGAAGGAATGCATAAAGGCCTGTGAAATCTGCTTTGCTAAGAATGTCCTCAATTTAAATGTTAAGGGTCCAAGCACAAAATAAGTTTGTTTCCCAAGGTTTTATATCCGATTGGCATTGTCTACCAGACCCTGACTCAAAAGGACCCCCATGATCCCAGAAATGTTATCTGTAAACCACACCTCCTTTCTTTGATATGCATCCCGATGCAAGCTAAACTCAATAAAAGCCCACTGAGAGAGAGGCCTGATTCCTCTGAGAGACTGGTCAGCCTTTCCTCCCCAAGCAGATCATGTCTTGGTAGACTTATTCTCATCAGCGGTGGCCAGGGGAGGTCTGCTGGACAAAGCTCCCCCACACTGTTTTACTTTTACTTTCTTTCTTTCTTTTTTTTCCCAAAGAACATTTTTTTAAAGATTTTATTTACTCATCTTTTAGAGGGAAGGGAAGAAGAAAAACCTCAACCCTCCTGGGAACTCGCCTGCAACCCAGGAATGTGCCCTGACTGGGAATTGAACCGTGATCGTGTGGTTCGCAGGCCCACGCTCAATCCACTGAGCTACACCAGCCAGGGCTGGTTTTACTTTCTAATGTGGAGATATATATATATATATATCTCCATCCCATGTATATACAACTCTACGAGGTCCTCAATATTTAAGAGTCCACAGGGGTTCTAAGATAAAAAAATCTGAGATCACTGCTTTAGGAAAACAGTGGGTATGTGAAAGCTCCAAACTTCATAGATCCACCTCCCCCAGGTCTTGCCCTTCCTGGGGCAGCCCACAGCCAGGGACCCATCAAGACCAAAGCATGAAGGCAGGGTCTTTTCCCTGATGTGGGACACCTGATGGGCAATTACCACTCTCGTGCTCCACAATGAGGTAGCTGGGTTTGGGGTCGGCCGGCATTGCAGTTCAACTCCCTCTGCCTAAACCTTTCTGTTGCTTCCATTCATAGGTGTTGATCCCCCCCCAAATACATGAAATACCCCCATCCTGCATCATATCCTACCCTTAAAAAGGCCCAAACAGGGAAACACATTGTATATGCAAAAAAGCGATGTGAGACCATTCCAGGGTCCTAACCTTCAAGACTTTCCTTTTAAAAGTATTTTTTAAATCATTCTATAAAACTTATTCACTCTTACTCTTTGTATCTTTGTACATAATACATCATTTGATCACATCATGTGGTGGCATCTCTTTCGTAGGAATTAATCCTAACTGTCCAACAAAACTGTAAGTTCTTTGAACAGAGAACACAAACAGCAATAATAAGTGATTAAGAGCTTACAATGTTCCCAGCATTGAATGATTTGCATACACATCTCATCCATACCCATAATTGCTGATGTGCAAATTATTATTCCATTTCGCAAATGAGGAAATTAAGAGTCAGGGTATCTAGGAACTTGCCCAAGCTATTAAGTGGCAGATGGATGACTTACACCCAACTTCATCTGATTCTAAAGCCTGTAAATCACTTTACTATGTTCTTTTTCTTAAATCCTCTCTAACACTATCACAATGCAAGACACAACACAGATGTTTGGTTAACTTAAAGAAAGCCCACTGTTTCCTGGTACTTACAGCTCTGCAGCATCTCTGTCAGTGTTTCCACAGATGCTTTCTCAGCGCTCTCAAACCCTGCTTCTGTCAGCAAGGAGCTCACAACCACCTGCAAGGTTCGCCTCCGGGACAGATAGTAGTTATCAGCAGGGTTAGTGGACTGTTTACCTCCTGATCTCTGTGAATCAGCAGCCCAAGAAAAACAGATTTTCATTCACTGGACAAGGATGTAATCACATAGTTCATACCTCATCAATGGCAAGCAAACGTTCCTTTGCTAAATACGTATTTATCAGTGCTTAATAAAATGTGATAGCCCTTGATTAGACTTACAGATCTTGGCCAAAAATGTAATAATTGTGCACCCAAGGGGCTCTAAGTACGGAGACAGCTTTTCTGCTTCCCTAAAACTTAAAATTAGAATAACACAAGTGTCTGTTTCGTACTTTCTAATTTAGCAGATTATCAAGATATACACTTGAACACTCGTGATGGGTGTGAATTTATGTATCTCTCAGAAAAAAAAACCTCTCTTGTTCTTCCCATCTTCACACTATTTCACTAACAAGGAAAATTAAAACAACACAAGACGCCGAGGAGAGGGCAAAGGGTACCAGCACTGAAAAGTAGGAAAGCTAAATATTTTGAAACAGAAATCCCTCCCAACTTCGGCTAGCCAATAAGTGAGCGAAAACGGTCTCTTCTGACCAATCAGGAGAGGTTCCGGGTTCCCAACCCCAAAACGAGCCAATCAGCACGCAGGCTCTCAAACTCAGAAGGCCGCCGCCAAGTCCCAAAGAGTGGGGGGGCATGTACGGCTTGAAAGACCCTTCCGTATTCGGAACTCATGGTGGGGCGGGATGTCTGGGTATAAGCTTGTTGCCCAGACTAAGAGAAAATTATAGAATACCCAGACTTTCTCACCTTCGACCCCGCGCCTCCCCTCTTACCGTTCCGGAGCCGCCAGCCCCGGCAGAAGCCATCGTGTCGGCCATCTTGCTATGGCGTAACGTGCGCGAGCGCAGGGCAGGGTGGGATTTGTAGTCACCGGGCGGAGAGGGGTGGTACGCGCGACTCTGGGTTTTCTTAAGCTCCCCAGAGTAGGAGCTGCTTTTGATGACTTGGTTCACGTGACCTCCAGTAAGCGGACCGGTTGACGGTGCTCCAGTGAGTTTCGGAACTGTGTCCTCGGTTTCACACCTTTCAACCTGAAATCGTTTTTCACAAAGAGCCCACCCCCTGGAACGCCCCAAAATTGAGTGTCAGCAACACCTGGCTGAGTCCCGCCCAGTGCCAGTGACTCACAGCCTGTCGGAGAGGCCAGAGAAAGTAGAGTGTTACTTCTCCAGATAATTCTCCCGAGCTGGAAATTATGGAAATCTTACGTTGTGTTGTGACTCCACAGCCCACCAATGACCCGCTTGCACCTAGAACCTAACCTAGTCCAGGTATTCTGCACCCTCCTGCCCTCAGTTAATCCACAGGTATTTGTGGGGCCGGCTGGGAGGCGCAGGCCGAGGGAGCTGGCCTCTGTCCCTTGCCCGCCTCATTCCCAGGATCTGCGGTGCCTGTGGGTTTTCTGTTCATTTGTTCGCCAGCCCCTCGGAATGAGGGTTCTTCAGACGGGGACCACACCGCGCCTTATTCTTTTTTTTTTTTTCCGGATGCCTGGCAGGACGCAGACGCTAGGTTTGAATTCTAACACTCGCTAAGCGGTAGGACTACGGGCCTAAGACCTAGCCTCACTCTGCCTCAGTTTCCTCTTTTGTGAAACTGGGGTGGGACTGATAGGGTAAAAGAAGATCTAATACAAAGGGTCTATCGTGGTGAAAAACGTACATTAAGAAGTAGAGAAACATCACCTACTGTTGTTTATTCCCTGGGTAGCGGGTGGTTGAGTGGCAAATGCCCCGAAGGCGTAAGTCTTCAGACCTGCGCCACACCTGCCCGAACACGCGGGGGGTACCTCCACCTCCTCACCTAGGGTACGCGGGTGAGGTCCGCAGGCCCTAACCTTAGCTGAGCCGAGCTCAGCCCCCTTTTTGTTTCCCCCGCCCCCTCTTCCCCCACTTCCTGCCCAGCTTTAAACTCGCGTTCCCCGGCTTGACGAGGACTTTGTAAACACGCCGCCCCTGCGGGGGTGGAGACTGATTCTGTTTGGGTTTTTGGAGAGTGGTGCACGCCCCTCCCGGCGGCTGGAGGTTGCGACCCCTCACTCCCCCACATCACCAGGACAGAAGCTAGAGGCTGCGGGAGAGAGTGTCTGCGGCGACAGTACATGCTCCGGGGGGCTCACCCGCCTAGGAGGTAGGCTTGTGAAGGCTGGAGAAGCCAAGAAAATGGGGGGTCAGTATCCCCCTTCACTGGAGCCGCTAAGGGTCAGGGTTGGGAGGTGAGTGGGTTGAGGTCACCGCTCTCTCATCACCTGGTTGTCCCTCAGAGCTGGGCTCACTTTCTGAGTGAGCAGTTCTCCATACAGTTAAAGGGCAGTGAAATCCCACCGAAGCCCTGAGTGTTTTCTTATGTGCGCATAGCCCCCTTCCAAGCTGGTGTTGGAGCCCAGTGGGCTGCGTTGTTCTACGTAGATCAGAGATGGAGGTAGAAGGCGAGTAGGAGGGCAGAACCAGTGTGGGCAGGGAGCCTTCGATTCTCCTGCCAGCCAGGGCCAGGGGAGGAAGCCAGAGGACAGGACTGGAAGGAGGAGTGCCTCAGTGTTCATGCCTCTGGTGTTTGATGGGCACACAAGTGGCAGCCTCAGTGTCTTCTGTGTCAACAAGAGGAGTAACTGGAGAAAGTGGTTTGCTGTTACCAAAGGAGTTTTAATGTGTCCATTTCCAAACACTGATTGAGTGCCTACTGTGTCTGAGATTGTATTGCATCCTGAGGGTGCAGTGATGTTATTCACCTGCAGCCAGTGTGGGTCTTGAAGAACAGAGATAAGGCATTAAGTTGGGGTGGCTGGGAAGGCTTCAGAAAGAGGAGGACATTTGAGTTGTGTTCTGACTGATGAATAGTCACCAGATAGAGAAGTTATGGGAAGTCTGGGGACACTTACTCATTGCACAGAGTTGTACGGAGCCCTGCTACATTGCCCTAACCCTAACCCAGATCTAACCCCCTGTCTAGGCATGAAGAAGAGGTGATAATGAACAGGCCGAATTCAGAGAAAGGGCTGGTCTCCAAAACCCCCAAAATTCTCAGCTAGGTACAGCTAGGAGGGTTCACTTGGGGGTGATATGACAGTCCACACAATCTTGGGGCACCTGCTCCTCACCCCTGGACTCGAGTCTTATTTCCTTTAATAATCCCTCACTCCGTGTCCACCACCGCAATTCCCTTTGGGACCAGACGTGGGTGAAGAGAGCCAGCTCTCCTTGCATTTCTGCAGATTCTTCTGCTCTTTCAATTCCCAGGTTCTTTTGGGAGGTGATTGATGCAACAACTTATGAGTTCATTTAACAGCTGTCTGCTGTGGCCATACTCTGTCTGTATACACTAGATGTTGGGGGTGTAATGGTAAACAAGTCAGAGCTTCTGCCCCCCTGGAATTTACAATTGAAAGCGTCTCTGAGAATTCCAGCTAGATACCAGTCTGTGCCCAGTCCCGGAGGCCATGACCTCCATGGCGCCAAACACCTTCTCATTCCTGTTTCCTTCCCTCTCGGGTTCGGAATACTAGCTCCCACTTACGTAGCTCTGTCAGGTATTCTTCTAAATGTTTTTAGGTGTAATGTCTCATTTAATCCTCCGAACAGTCCTATAAGGTAAGCACTAGGATTATCTCCATTTTATAAGTGAGGAAATTCAGGTAGGAGAGAATTTTTCTAAAGAGGGCACCAGAAATAAATGACAGAGCTGGGATTTAAACCCAGGTCACTTGAACCCTGGCTGATGGGGCTGAGTGGGTTGAGCATGGGCCTGTGAACTGAAAGATTGCTGGTTTGATTCCTGGTCAGGGCACATGCCTGGGTTGCGGGCCAGGTCCCTGGCTGAGTATGTGTGAGTGGCCGATCCATGTTTCCCTTATGAATCGATGTTTCTTTCCCTCTTTTTCTCCCTTCTTTCCCCCCTCTTTAAAAATAGAATTTGACTCTTAAAAAATAAAAATATGAACCCAGGTCACTTGACTTGGAAGGCAGGCCCTGTATTTAACCACTAGGGAAATGTACCTCCTTGCCTGACTGCATAGAATATGTACTTGAGCCAGGGGCTTAGGAGTTGCCCAAAGGGGCTCCATGGTTCGGTATCTTGGGTGATACAGAGGAGCGTAGTCTGTTAGCTGAGAGTGTGCGCTAATACTGTTCACAGGTAGGGTTGGGGCGACTTCCCAGAGCTGGTATCCTCTCTTAATGGCCCTCCGTGTGTGTGTTTCCTAAGCCTCCCTTATCAAGAGGAACGGACCAGGGATTGATGCAAGAAAGACCACAACATTGATATAATGTGCCAGAATCTGGGAGACAGGGAACTAAGACATCTCTTTTGTTGGGAATCCTTAAGACTAGCGGACACTGCACTGGCCAGTGTGGCTCAGGTGGTTGGAGTGCTGTCCGGTGGGGGGTTCAGTTCCAAGTCAGGACACATACCTAGGTTGCAAGTTCGAGCCCCAGTTGAGGCACGTATGGGAGGCAACTAATCAGTGTTTCTCTCTCACATCAATATTTCTCTTCCTTTCTCTCTAGTACTAATAAACATATTTTTAAAAATAAATAAAAAGGAATAGCAGAGGCCCTCATATTCTAGATTCCAGGAGGAACAGTCCTCAGTAACTGGGTAATGAAGGTGGTCAAGGAGTGAAGCAACCATAAGATACTTACCTCTTCCCAACAGCTGCTGCACCCCACAGCTGCTGTACCTCATAGCTGCTGCACCCCAAAGCTGCTGTACCCCAAAGCTGCATCCGCGGGTCTGACCCTGTGCCTCTAGGCAGGCTGGGACCATGCCTGTTACAGAAACCAGGCCACAGGGTAGAGGTTCCATGGATTCAAGCCATTTTAGCAGAACCTTTCTGAAACTCGAGGTTTCTCACAGGAACCCTCTGCACAGATCTGGGGAGGCCCTGAGACTGTCTTCTCCGCCTGCAGTCGGTCCACCCCCACCGTCTTTCTGTCTTTGAGAGAGGGGGAGAGGGGTGTGTATTGGAGGCATGGGTGTTGGTTCTGGGACTCCAGGTGGGGGGGGGCCATACCAAGGTAACAGGTAAGCAGGATGCGAACATTCAGAACTATGCAGGCCTCCAGGCTCTTCCTCTGCCATGCAACCCCCTTCCTCACTCACCTGTGGGCGGGTAGGTGGGTTCTATGGAACCTTCTAGCGCCCCAGCCCCTGCCCCAGGCACGCTTCTGGCTGGGGAAAGAGAACAGGTTGTTCTCTTGAGAAACCACAAGAGGAAGTTTCAGGAGGGCTGGGGTGGGGAAAGTTCTGGGGCCCCTGCCAAGTTTCCCTTTCAAAGCCCAGCGGGTAGATGTGTTTATTTTGGTGTGTTTCTCCTGCCCTCAAAGACATTTAACTTTTAAACCCTCCGAGTTTTAAAGAGCTGTTGAGGCCTGCCCCATTACAACAGGAGGGTGTGGCCAGGGACGCTTCTGGAAAGGATTTTGGAACCAGGTACCCATTTTGGGGATTTCACCTGGGATTCGCGCTGGTTTGGAAAGGCCCACTACCTCCGAAAAGTCTCCCTGTGTCCTTCTGACCTTTCACCTTGCTCTTCCCAAAGCACTCCCTGCAGCCCTGCATTCCTCTGAGGACAGGAGCTGAGTAATGTTGCCAGGAGCTGTTGTAAATGTTTTGACCACCTCATCTCACTTAATATTCACCACAGCTTCAGGTAGTAAATACCCCTACCCCCAATTTACAGATGGGGAAACAGGTTCTGAAAGGCTAAGAAGTTTGCCCGAGAGTCACGCAGGCCAGTGAGTGGCAGAGGTCAGATTTGAGCGCTGGTCTGATTTCAAAGCCTGTGCTCTTGGTGTCTAAATTAACTCCCAAGTGGAGCATCAACTTCCCCAGCATATCAGACCCTGAACGATAGGGAGTTTGGAACCCAAAGATTAAACATGATGCAGCTGGTGTGGGGAGGGGATGGCTCGGGGATAGAATTAGAAGGGCTCCTGGGAAGTTAGTATGTTACAAAAAGAACGATCCCGTGAAGGAAGAAGATGTGGTGGATGACAGTTGAGGTCAAACTCTGGAAGGGTGAACCAAATGGGAAGAAGGTGTAGGAGGGATGTTATAGCTGTGTTCAAATATTTAAACTGTCTGCCTTTGGAAGTCCCTGGGTAGTGGGTGTTGGTGGAGGCAAATTTCTAAAAAGTATAAGAACTTTCTAACAGATAATTGCCTGATTCCCTTCTGAAGAAGTTGGTTCCTCATGCTTTGGAGGGGCTTCTACTGTGGAGAAGAATCCAAAGCCCCTTCCACCTCCAAACCTC